TGGGAGCTGAAAGTGACGTTTAAGTTTCAGTGTTTTCAGCGTCAGTGGAGTCTGGACGGTTAAGAACTGTCACAGTTTTCTTTTGAGGAGGTTCCTGAGACTTTTCGTCGACAGGTGAGTTTGGACGACTACGAGTATTGCGTTGAGTTTTTGGATTGTTATTGAATTTTTTCTGAGTTACTTTTCCCATAGTGATTTTGAGGGGAGTGGGAAAGAGTTTAGAATTAAAGATATTCTGATAAAATTTAGTATCAGGTTAATAATGCTAATTTTGTATAACTTAGCAATCAGTAGAAATGTCATACTCTAATCATAGAAGTTACACAAATTAGTAAATTTATTTATATTATCAATCATTTTCTTATAATAAAATATATTGCTAAATTTTACTAAGCCATATTTGAATCCTTATTTTCTCTTTTATAAAAGGTTATCTACATATAATAAATGCTAAATAATGGGTTTAAAAGAAGGTTAGTCAATATTTTATTAGAGTGATATTTATAAGTTTATTCCATTCAATCTGGAATCTAAAATAATAGTTTATGATTATTTAATGTTATAGAAATTGTAGTTTTAAACTTTGATGATGATACCGCTTTTATATATTTTTCAAATTTACCCTTATATTATAAAACTCATAGTATTTTAACTAATGATATTTATGAGGACTTTATAAATAGGGATAATGTTTCGCTTAAGCTGATTTCTGTTAATTTTTCTTATAGATATAAAGAATATGAATCAAGTTCTAAGTTTGATTTTTTTTCTCTTCAATCACATAAAGATTTATTTCAAAAAATGATAGAATCAATAACAGGTAATTAGCATACATACAAATATATTTTTTTGTATAAATAATTAACATTAATTATATTAAAACTTTTTTAGATAATGATGATAATGATGATAGTATTGCCAAATATAACTTTGATGAAAATAGAAAAGAATTTAGATGATCGTGCTATTGAAGAAAATCAGAATTTTTATAAGAATGATAACAAAGAAGGAACTGATGAAATAATTAAATGTGATAAGCATAATATAACAAAAATAACAGAAAAAATTAATAATAATAAAGTTAATATTGACTTTCTGATTTACTCTCTTATTTCTTTATTGTTTTCACTTCCTTTTTCTTTCTCATTAACATCTTGTGTAATTATCGATTATGTTAAAGGTACTATTTAAAAATGTAATTTAATGTATAAATTACAAAGACTACATAACCTTTACAAAATATAACAAATAGATTAAAGTGTAGTTCAACAAGTAAATAGTGATTACTCTAAACTAGGAGTTTGTAATTCTTATTTTTTATTTGATCAAAACCAACTTCATAAAAATTTAGATAAACAATTAAAATAATAAATCTATTTATAATTCAAAAGTAAAAATGTATTAGATGTAGAAATTTTATAACATTTTTTTAGTTGAAGAAAGGATATAGAAATCATTCATGATGATAAATGGTCATAGGATTCAAATTTCTTGTAATGGATTAGTATATTGTGATGCATTAAAAAATTATTCTACTCTTTATCAATGTACTTATGATGATACCAAAAGATCATGATATGTTTATTGTATCTATTATGAAAAATTAGAAGGTATATTCATAAACAATCAGGACAAGATCAAAGAAAAGATTGTATTAAAAATCAATTGTATAATGAAAATATTAACAAAGAACTTAAATTTATT